AAAAAAAAAAAAACTTCCCTTCGTCATTATGGGTATTTAATTTCCAATCTAAATAATGCAAAAAAAGAATAAAAAAACAAAGAAAAAAAAAAAACGTGCAACAAATTTTGTAGGCAAATTGAATAAATCGGTGAAGCAAACAAGCAAATAAATGAAAAAGTAAAACAGAAAGTAAGGAAAGAAAGAAAAATAGAATAGAAAAAATTTATGAATAAACAATACAAAGTTTAAGCGAGGAGAAAAATTTTGCAATAAAAATTAGCTTGTTCAATAAAGTTCAGTAATTATCTGCAGCCTTTCTCGTCGCCCTCCATCCCCTCCTCTCTGTTTTTCCCCCCACCCGTTCTTTTTTCCTTCTAACCTCAAAAATTTTAATAAACTGCCATTAAAAAAAAAAAAAAAAAGTGGTCTGAGCAATACTAACAGCAATCAAAATAATAACCGTAAAGAAAAAACAACAACAACAACAGCAAAAAAGAGTAAGCAGCTTGAGTTCTTAGGTGCATATCACAATTCCCGATACTTTTTCAGTACTCTTAATGGGCTCAACAGAAGTAATTCGCTTTGTGAACCTAACTGTTATCGCAATGTCAGCATATAAAAATTCCTATACCTGAATGTCGGCATACTATTCCATCATTTTACAATATACAACAGCAAATAAAAAATTAGTCTCCGCTACGTAGCATTAACAAAGTATTTGCAAAAAAAAACTGCAGTTCACCTTTCCTCGCTATCTCCCTCCCCTCTCCTTCCCTTTATCCGTTTTGTCTTTCGAAAAACTGTTATTTTTTCTCCCTACCTCATTCTTTTCTAGTAAATTACAAAATAAAAAAAATTTCGACAAATGAAAAAAAAATTTTACCTTTCCAACAAATTGATTCGGAGAAAAAAAACAAAACAAGAAATATTCATAAAAACAATCAATAAAAGGTAATAACAAAAACGAAAAAATGACAATGAAAAGTGAAAAATATTGGCCTAGAAGAAAGAAAAAGACAAGAAGAAAACCAACACATGTAAGGGAAATACATATGAACATCAACTTGAAGCTTCTCACCTAATTTCAAACTTTTTTTTGCCCTTTCAATAATGATCTGCGTGCCTTTCAAACCGAATCTGAACCAAAAGTGTAAAATAACAGAATAAAGCAGCAAAAATGAACGCATTTAAAAAGAATCGGATACAGAGCAAAGAAGTGAACTTCAGATCAAGAAAAAAAAAAGAAAAAGACTTAAGTAATGATCACTATTTTAAAGAAATACTAATATGTACCTTCGTATCATTACGTCGTTTAAGCGCCCGAATCTGCGAATTCAGTATGGCAGATATTTTCTTCTGCGCTTCGATTTCTTTGAAATTTTTGCACAACTGTAACTTCTGTCGATCGTCTTCAGTGCTGTGATCTTCATCAGCCAAATATATATAATATCTCCAGTTTGCTGTATCAAAACCCCAGTGGCACACCTGGCTTGGCTCACTGGTACCATGCGTATGTGAGACAAACGTTTCACCAGTAAACAAATAGTTACATTCGCTGCATTCAATAGCAGCACTGCACTCGTCAACGATAAGCGATGGAATCAGAAGTCCGGAACACCCACCAAACCCATCGTGCCGAACAGCAACACCTTCTTCACGAAGCTTTGGATTCTGTAAGCGACCACTTGACTGTGGTAACAACCGAGATACTAGTCTTTCAGCATCACTCTTTCGGATTAAACTACAGGTACTGGCACCGGGTGGTAAAATTCCAGAAATTTTTAACGACTTCATTTGTGTCGGCGTTGCGATAGCTGTGTGGATTTGCAGATCACTATTCACCTTCTGTATTATAGCATCGTTAACATTAGGCAATACCATAGCCAAAAACTGAGGCAAGCAAAGACGACACTCACCTCCAACGACAAAACACGATATCAACTGTCCGGCCAGACGTGTGCTTTTTAGTGGTGAGGACGTAGAATCACTCGGTAACAGTACCGGTGCTGGTTGAACAGGTAAAACGTTTTTTAAAATGCTCAACGGTTCCAGAATTACATCTCGATCATGCGACGACTCAATACTACGGCACATGGTTGCAAGAGCAGCCATCTCCTTTTTTGATTCCAAATCCTTGCTTCTTCTCCGTCCACTTGTTTAAGGATTTACAAGTGCAAGGGTTGACAAGGACCAAAACATACGAGGGGAGGGGAAGGGGAAGGGGAGAAAGCCGAACAAAACCGAGCAAAGAGGCACTCGCGCCGGCGATTTTTCAGCAAACCCAACCAACAAAACAACACGGCCGACACCAGCGCTGCAAAAATGCTCCACCTCGACGTCCCGCCCACTTGACGTCTAGACCATAGAATAACGCTGCAAATGAGACGACTAGACAGCAGGCTTCAGAAGCAACCACTAAGTGCAAAATAGACCGCTCTAAATCTGAGCGCAATGCTCTGCTCTCTTGCCCTACCGCTTTTCGCCCCTCCCCATACTCTATCTTGGCTCCAGCGGTCTGCCACTGAGACTGCAGTGTATGCTCCCCCACCTTCTGTCTCGTCGGTCTACTTTCGCTCTCGCTATTTTTTCAGGCTGTATTTTTGGCTAAAGAACCACCCGTTTCTGGTAAAAGGTCTCTTTCTCTATGTGGCAAGAAAAATATTGTTTCATTTAACAAGTTTCTGCTGCTGTCAAGTATTTCAGCAAACTACGAAGGTACAGTTGTTACGCTTTAGGACTGGAAGACTGAACAGTCAGGAAGTTAGAGTATTCAAAGGAGCAAAAGAGGACGAGACGGGCCATGACGAAGAGAATAAATTTTGAAGGGAGAAATACCGATAATTACAACGGCTTAATTGTTTCCTTGTTAATGTCCGCTTTCAGACTGCCGAAGAAAAAAAAGTGAACCGAAATGGAAACAACAATGGACAGTCGGAAAGGAAATCCATGATTTGAGCAGGTGACTGGCTTGTCCAAGCGAAACTTGGCGATGCCGTTAGTGAAAAAGCATTGAAATTTGTGGAGGTCGCGAGTCAGTCTTGAGTGTGAACTCTTAAGATTTCAAGGATTAACAAACCGTTTATTGGCACCGCAAGCGGAAATGGCAGTTGATATGAATTTGAGCATAACTACAGGAAGAGGAGACACACATATAGTTATTTAAAAAGATGAGGTAACTTGTGGAATCAAAAAATGATAAACAAGTAGTTATAATAATAGTAATTATACTAATAGTTCAATTGGAAAACAGTAATTCTAATTGGTCTGAGCATGGATATGAATATAACCAAGTTGGCAGACATACCATTGACGTAATTGTTATTTGACTGTTGTATGCATAATTCACCTAATGTTAACGATGCCAACACGATGAAGCATCAAAAATCCAAAAGAAAATAAATGTAAAATTAGTGAAAATAAACATTATTAACAGAAGTAAAGGCAAGAACAGTGATAGTGATGATAATCGCAGTAATAGTAAAAACAATTGTGTATATAATAATAATAATAATAATAATAATAATAATAATAATGAAAAATAATAATAATAATAATAATAATAATAATAATAATATATAATAATAATAATAATAATAATAATAATAATAATAATAGGAACAGTAAAAATAAAAGTAATAAAAAAGTAACAATAATGCTGACAATAGCACTAACAACGACAACAACGACAGTATTAATGAACAGTTTTAATAATTACCGTAATATGAGGAATTTTCATTTCCAGAAATACCAATAATATGCTAAAAAAACCTTCCTGAGGTTTTTTTTAATCATTATCACACTTTTTTTTACTTCTTCTTAGCTCGTTTTACTGTTACTGTTACTTTTACTGCTACATATTTCGGTGTATAACAAGGGCAGGAATATTGATAATGACTGTAATTAAGTGCTCGAAATTTAACAGAGCAAAACCTTTGACAAGTTTATTGCGAAAGCTTAAGTAACGCATAGAAAAACATCAGCTGTACCATCCAATATAATAATATAACTAACTTATTTATATAAATGAAGACAGGAAATTAAAAGTCAAAGAAAATTAGTCTAACAATGATTATAGCAAACTGACAGGATGGCGCCCAACATATTGAAAGCCTTCAAGTCCATGACCATCAAAATTTTCCTGGGAAAGTCGCTACATTTGCGAAAGCCAATGATTTGGAAAAAACACTAGGAAATTTATTCGCTCGCTGAGAAATTCACTGAGAAGTTAGTCGAAAAAAATGTCTACAGTTTAGGTAGGTTACAGTTGCTGTCTGTTTCTTCGTCTTCAGTTGCATCAAAACCAAATGTTCCCCAGCCAGCTAGCCTCAATGCTTCTTTATCATTGATTGACGAGGCTAAGTGGATGCCAAAACAAAACAATGAATGTTGATGAAGGAGAGCTGTTGCGTATATAGTGACAAAAAATTCTTGGTTTTGCATAAATTGAACATACTGAGAACTGAGACGGCAACAATGACGACAAAATGAAGGGTATTTTGGTAATAGAGAACGTTGTCAAAGTATAGATAATCTTTCTCATCGATAGCCTCCACTGTTATGGAATCAATTTTCAAAAAAAAAAATATGTATATACATCTATGTATACATGTAACACTACAGGATTTCTTTTTTTTTTTTTTTTCTTGATTTATTAACGATGCCATTTAAGAGAATAAAGTTTTCAAAATTTTGGCCCAGATACAGCAGTTAAGAAATCGCTCAAACATTAAGCATTAAAATGATGAAATATTGAAGGAGCTTAACATTTGGTTACATGAAAAATTTTCATACAAAAATTGTGATGAAAACGAAAAGCAAAAAAAGTCTGTTGAAAATAGTTTTTCTCCTTGGTTCAGAGTCAATGTAAAAGCAAAATCAGTGCAACAAATATTATTTAAACGAAAAAAAAAAAAACAATTCTGATTTCAATTATTGTTTTCAATGGTTTTTTCATTACTGCAAAGGTTGATTTTTGGTCACATAAACTGACTGCAAGAAGATAAATTTGCTGTCTCATACAATAATTGCTGCAAATCATTGGAACTGTTAAAATTGTACATCTATCGATGAATTCGTACAGTTTATCGAATTAACAACCGGAAAATCTTCAAATCAGTCTGTTGTTTTGAAGAATATTTCTGTAATATCATTATTATTTCAATATTTTCTTTTCATAGAACACTTGATTTTTAACATTTTTTCCAAATACATTTATACGTAAGCAACCAAAGAAAAAACACACACAAAAATCTTATAAAGAAAAAAAAAAGGTTTCTAAGCGATAATTAATTCGACTAATTGGCTAGCTAATCTTTTAGCAGTAAGTGAAGCAAAATTTCTTCTGTAAACCTTGTTGTACGAATGAGATGGTACCATCGTTGATGTTGCTGTTGCTTCAACTTCTGCTGCTCGATAACGACTTTAGACGTTCTAGAAAATTTATATTTTGCACCTTTTTTGCACTTCACTTATCCCAACTGAACACACAAAGAAACTTGTTTGGAAAAAAAAAAATGAAAAATGCTCCTTTTTAATAACTGAATGCTCCATACAGTTTTGCAATTGGTAATTTTTAGTTTCTGTCTTTCCTAAGTTCCTTTATCCTCTCGTTATACCCTGCAAGATACAACTTGTCATATTTGTTGCAAGTCATATAGTTTGTTGTAGTTGGTAATAATCGGTAAGCAAATAAAAATAAATTTTTTTTTCTGATTAAGCACAAACGTTTCCTTTATTATTTGTTGTGGTATTTGTAACGGTCATTTAATGATGGAACGGATCAAAAAATAAAAAACATTTCGTTTTTGATTACGTTTTATTATTCTCAAATAAAATGCATGAGATGTAAGAGATAACGAAAAAGAGGAAAAAGCGCTAGCAA